GCGGCACGACGGCGTAGACGCCGGCGAGGAACGCCGCGACGCTCCTCTTCGACGTCTCCACGAGCGCGTCCTTCAGGCGCAGCGCGACGAACTCGTCCTTGTTCGCCTCCGTGACGGCCACGTCCGCGCCGCCGCGCACGAGCTCGCGCGTCGCGACCTTGCCTGGGCAGGAAAAGGGTGCGAAATTCTCAATTTCAAAGGCTCCTTTCTCGGCCGGTTTCCACTCGTTTCGGCTGATTTTTGGACGAGCGATCATCTCTCGGAGCGCTCTCGAAGCGTGGATGCTTTTCCTAGAACGCGCGCGCGCGAAACACTCACATTGAAGCGACGTTGAATCACCCTTTTCCTGCCCTGCACCTTGCCGAGCGCGCCGCCGTCGACGGAGAACGTCAGCGCGAGGTCCGAGACGTCCATGGCGCCGAGCTGGCGCAGCGAGTTCCAGAGCGGCGCGTCGAGCCACTCCAGGTCCGCCAGGCTCAGCGGCTCGCCGCAGACGTGCTTGAGCAGGCACCGATTCAAATGCGCGTCGAGGTGCGCGCCGTCGAGCAAGGCCTTGCCGACGAGCTTCCCCGCGAAGGTCAGCCACTGGGGCCCGCGGTCCGCCTGGCCCACCGTCGCGTCGTCCTGCACCGTGTACGTCAGGTCCGCGCCGCCGTCCGCCGTCCGGAAGAGGCCGAACTCCGTCGCGAAGATTTGCGACGTCGCGAGGCGGAAGACCTCGCGGCCGACGCCGCCCGCGTCCAAACCCTTCTCGCCCGCGATGGTGAAGAAGAAGGGCCAGCGCCACTGCGCGTCCGTCAGCTTGCGCAGCTTCGCGTAGCAGTCCGCGAGCAGGCGGTCGCGCCGCACCGTGGGCATGACGCGCCCCTTCTGCCAGGGGCTCCGCAGCGTCTCGAGCTTGGCCCGCAGCGCGGCGACGCGCCGCTCCAGGGGCCAGGACCCGGACGCCTGGAGCGCCGCGCGGTCGTCGTCGCCGACGGCCGCGACCGCGAAGCCCTCGCGCGCGTCGACGAGCTCCAAAGTTCCGCCGTCGAAGCGGCGCACGAAGCGGCCCGCGCCGGACCACGTCACCGCGCCGGGCCCGGCGCCGTCCGCGTCGTCGTCCCAGGCGAAGCGCCGCCCGAGGCGCGTCGCCGCCGTCTTGCTCGCCTCGAGCGGCTCGCCGCCGCTCTCGAGCTTGAAGCGCAGGTCCCGCCAGTCGGAGTCGCGGTCCGGCTCCGACGAGCCGTCGCCGTCGCCGACGACCGACGACCGGGCCCGCCGCTCCTCGAAGGACAGGCGCCGGCCGACGTCCGCCGTCGACCCCTCGGATCGGTCGCGCGACTCGAGCGTCCGCCGCGCGTCCGAGGCCTCGGAGCTGCCCCCCTCGTTGCGAGGCTCGAGCGTCCGCCGCGCGTCCGAGTCCTCGGAGCTGCCCGCGGCCCCGTCGCTGTCGGCGTCGGAGTTGCTCGCCTCCGCGTAGGCCGCGAGGGCCCGCTCCTCGCGCGCGGCCTCGACGTCGACGGCGTCGCCGCGCGCGACCGGCGCGTCGGCGGCGGCCGCGGGTTCGGCGGCGGCGGCCCGAAACTTGCGCCGGCGCCGCATGAAGAAGGCGGCGATGGCCAGCGCGCCGGCGGCGGCGACGGCCGCCGCGCCGCCGATGATCGGCGCGAGGTCGCCGCCGCCGCCGCCGCCGCCGCCGGACGACGACGGCGGCGGCGGCGGCTCGTCCGCTTCCGGTTCCGCGGCCTCGCGTTCGCCGACGTCGACCTCGCGGACCGTCGCCTCCTCGAGGAGCGTCGCGCCGGAGGTCCGGAGCTCGCGCTCGAAGGCCCCGTCCTCGAGCGCCCGCAGGTCGGCGCCGTCGGCGGCGGCGACGTTGAATTTGACCTCCGACGTCGCGCGGTCCTCGAGCCGCCGGCGGAGCCGCCGGCGCAGACTCCGCGCGACGACGTCCGTGACGGCGTCGGCGGACGCGACGCCGTCGAGCGTCGCGGCGACGGCCGCTTTGAAGGCCGCGATCGCCGCGGCGTCGCCGTTGAAGTCGTCCGCGGCGACGCCGTCGAGCACGACCGCCGCCGCGACGACGGCGACGTCGTCGGTGGGTTGGCGTCGCGTGGGCGCCCCCGTGGGCCTCGGCGTCGGCGGCCGCGCGGCCTCCGCGGGCCGCGGCGTCGGGTCCCCCGGGTCCGCGGCGCCGCCGACGACGTAGATGTCGGCGCCGGTGTGGCGCGCGTCGTCGCAGTTGTCGAGGCCCGCGTCCGTGCCGCACTCGCCGTCGCCCTCGCAGAGGTCGCCCGGCGCGAGGCCCGGCGCGTCGCAGGCGACGAGGTCGAGGTCCGGCGGGCACTCGGCGCCGCGCGCCGCGCGGAGGCCCGGCGCGCAGCGGCGCTCCGTCGGCGCCGTCGTCGGCTCGCCCGCGGCGACGGGCCTCGGCGTCGGTCGCCGCGACGGCCGCGCCGTCGGCCGGCGCGTCGGGTCCCGCGTGGGCTCGGGCGTCTGCGCGACGGGCCGCGGCGTCGGGTCGCCCCGGGCCGCCGACGGCCGCGGTGTCGGGCGTCGCGTGGGCCGAGGCGTCGGGCGTCGGGTGGGCCGAGGCGTCGGGCCTCGCGTCGGGCTCGGCGTGGGCCGCCGCGTGGGGTCCGCTTCCTCCTCTTCCTCGTCGCCGTCCTCCTCCTCTTCTTCGTCGATGTCCTCCTCTTCTTCTTCGTCGACACTTTCTGCCTCGTCCGGCTGCGCGACGGGCGTCGGCGTCGCGCGGCTGGGCCGCGGTGTCGGGCGTCGCGTGGGCCGAGGCGTCGGGCGTCGCGTGGGCCGAGGCGTCGGGTTTCGCGTAGGCCGAGGCGAGGGCCGCCGCGTGGGGTCCGGCGCGGCGACGAACTCGGACGTCGGACGGGGATCGTTGACGATTTCGTCGGCGGCCGCCGTGGGTCTCGGCGTCGGTTCGGGCGTGGGACGAGGCGACGGCCGTTTTGTGGGTTGAGGTGACGGCCGTTTCGTGGGTCGAGGCGTCGGCCGTTTCGTTGGTCGAGGCGTCGGCCGGGGCGTCTCCGCGATCGGCCGCGGCGTCGGGTTACCGGGCCGCGGCGAGGGTCGCGGCGTTGGCCTGGCCGTGGGCTCTGGCGTTGGACGTCGCGTGGGCCGAGGCGTGGGCCTGGCCGTGGGCTCAGGCGTTGGACGTCTCGTGGGCCTAGGCGTGGGCCTTGGCGTGGGCCTCGGATTCGTAGGCCGCGGCGAGGGCCGCGGCGTCGGCCTCGGATTCGTCGGCCGCGGCGTCGGCCTCGGCGTCTTCGGCGTCGGCGTGGGCCGCGGCGTCGCGGGGATCTCGACGGGGGGCGGGGGCACGTGGCAGGCCCAGGCCGGGTCGTTCGGGCAGCCGCGCTTGCACTCGGCGCGGGAGGCCGTCTTCTGGAAGCAGCCGTGCTTCCCGGAGCAGCAGTCGTCGTCCGAGCCGCAGGCGTCGCCGTCCTCGGCGCAAGGCGGCTCGTAGCACTCAAAGTCCTCCGTGTCCGGGCAGCTCTTGAAGCACTCGCCGACGTCCTCGTCGACCTTCCAGAAGCACGAATGGCTGCCGCAGCAATCGGTCTCGTCGTCGCACCGCTCGCCCTTGTCCGCGCAGGGCGGCACGTAGCAGGCCCAGTCCGCCTGCGCCGGGCAGGTTTCGAGGCAGTAGGCGAAGTCGTCGTTCTTCCGGAAGCAGCTCTCGCCGCCGCAGCAGTCGAGGGAGCTGCACTCGTCGCCGTACTCCGCGCAGTCGGCGTCGTAGTTCGCGTCGTCGAGGAAGCCGAAGCCGCCGTCGCCGAAGAAATCGTCGGCGCCCCCGAAGCCGCCGAAGAGGTCGTCGACGCCCGTCACCCAGTCGTCGTCGTCGGCGTCCAGCGACGACGGCTCGTCGTCGACGAGCGTCACCCAGTCGTCGCCGTACTGCCAATCGTCGCCGTCGTCGTACCCGAAGCCGAAGCCGAATGAGATGTCGCCATAAAGATCGTAGGATGGCCCGTAATATGGCCTTCTCATGCCGTAGGAGTAGTCCGCCGGCATTTGGAGGCGCCGGTCGGCCTCGCCGCCGCCGAAGAAGCGGACGGCGCGGCGAAAGAAGGACGGTGCGTCCTCGGCGCTATCCAACGCGCGACTGTCTGCGCGCGGGGTGACCGCCTTCGTCGGGCGTTGGTCCGGCGGCGGTTCACGCGGCTCGCCGTCGGCGCGGCCCGCGACGTCTTCGGGAGCCGCCGCGAGGAGAACGGCGGCCTGCGGCGGCACAAGGACAGAGAAGACGACGAGCGCAAGCGAACACCGCGCCATCACTTCTCCGCTATTCGTGAAGGTTTACTGCGCCTCCTGATCGCCGTCAGTGTCGCCGTCAAGTTACTCGCGGCGCGCGACGCGCACACGGCCAGTGGCAGGGCTTGTGGAGAGAGGAAAACGCCGGGAATCCTGACTTTGCCTCCTTCGCGCACCGCGTAGGCGTCCGCGTCTCCGCGCCGTCGTCCGAAGCCCAACGAAACGCGGCCGATACGCCTAGGCAGGCGCTTTATCTTCGCCAGAACGGTGCCAAGGCCCAGCCCAGGGTTCCAGAGGGATGTCACTGATAGCGCTAGGCCGAGATGGCCCGCCACGCGACGGTCGCGTCACGGTCGGCGTCTTCGCGCGGCCCGAACCCGCCGCATAGCCTCTCCGCTTCGCCGCCGACGATCGCACGGAGCATCCCCGAAGACGACGATGTGCCCCGGACGCCGCCACGGGCTGCTGGCGCGCGGACTGCATCAATAACGTCACCTTTCACTCAATCAAACCAGCGCAGGTTTTTGCGAGCTTACTCAGCCCGCCAGCCTCGTCGCATCTCACACGCTGCCACCGAACAACATCGCAATGGCCCGCATCGTCCTCGCCCTCGCCGCCCTTGCCACGACGCGGGCGCTGCAGCCCGCGCGGCGGACGACCTCGCTGCGCGCCGCGCCCGTCGACGAGGCGCCGGTCGCCGCCGAGGCGCCGGTCGCCGCCGACGAGGCGCCGGTCGTCATCCCGGAGCCGCCGAAGCCCGTTCCCCGCAACGACGTCGTGCGCAGCAACTGGTACGACCTCGCGCTGCCCTTCAGCCCGCGGCCCGCGGTCCTCGCGTGCGACCTCGCGGCGGACGCCGGCTTCGACCCCGCGGGCCTCGCGACGAGCAAGGTCGACCTCTACAACTACCGCGAGGCCGAGGTGAAGCACGCGCGCCTCGCCATGCTCGCCGCCGCGGGCTGGCCCATCGCCGAGCTCTGGGACGGCCCCATCGCGAACGTGCTCCACCTGCCGTCGATCGTCGAGCAGAACGGCGGCCGCGACCCGTCGGTGCTCAACGGCGGCCTGGGCCTCATCTCGCCGGTCTACTGGGTCGGCGTCGTCGCCCTCGCCGGCGCCATCGAGTTCGTCGGCGAGACGAACAAGGCGCGGCAGAAGGCCGAGGACTCGACGTGGATGCTCACGGGCAGCTGGGTCCCGGGGGACCTCGGCTTCGACCCGCTGGGCCTCTACACGACCTTCGGGGACAACGCCCAGGCGAAGATGCTCATGGAGACGGCGGAGCTCAAGAACGGCCGCCTCGCCATGGTCGCCATCCTCTCCTACGTCATCGAGGAGGTCGTCTCGGGCAAGCCCGTCGTCGAGCTCACGCCCCTCTTCTTCGAACCCTTCTGGAAGGTCGTCGAGGACCTCATGTTCGCCGCCCCGCCCCTCTACGCCCAGTAAACCCCGATGCCCTGTGAGAGCCAGGCCGCGGTCGACCGGCGGCGTACGACGGTCGAGGACAGCGTCGTCGACGGCGCAACGAGTACCCCGAGTACACACCCAAACCTCTCGGACGATTAGCCTCAATATGGCCTTCGCGCCGCGCCACAGGCCGTATGAGGCCGCCTGTGACCCCCGCGCCGCTTCCGTCCGCGTCTACTAGTCCCTGCGCGGTCGCGTGCCACTTTTGAGCGCTGGAAACGGCGTGCGCGCGACGGCGCACACGGCCTCGGAAACCGCCTGCGGGAGCGGCCGAGCAGCGGGCGGCGCTGGACGCGT